AAAGCGCTTGCCTACGCTGGGATACAAACGATATCTATACTGCCCTAGCCGCCAAACGCTGATGCAATCACTAAACAGCCAGTTTTCTTGCAAATTCAACACCCCTTGTGTGACATGAAGCAAAAGAGAACCTCGGAAAAAGGAGAGGTACGTGGACCGTAGACTAAATAGCTGGAAAATCTTGTTCTACTTCTGCCTTTACAATGCCATTGGACAATGTCTCCCAACAGGGCGCTCTCAGATACGTTTCGCAGTGAATGAGATCGAAAAAATAACCATCAAGCCTTTTAACATTGGCTGCTCTTTGCTGGCTCATCATCCTTGTGTGGTTTCGCAGCGGCCTCAGGTCCCTTCGCCTTCTCGTCTGCTTCACCAGCTGCTTTCTACAAATACAAGTTAGAGAAAATGTCTACAAAGAAAGTTGAGTTGCCAAGACAAATGGTTTCCCACCTCTTTCTCTTTTTCGATCTTCTCCTGCTCAGCCTCTTGTGCAGCTTCAGCTTCTTTTGCCTAAAACACATTCCAAAATACAGCATGTGGTAAGTGGCGATGGAAATGACTACCTTAGCGATCTCTTCTTCTTCAACGACCTCCCACTTCTCGGTATCACTCTCTGCTCTTTCGTCTTCGGGAGGTGGAACATCGCCAGCTGCTTTTGCTTCGGTTGCTTCTGCAGGCTCAGACGTATCCATAGGTGTGTTTCTGGAACTAAAAACTGAATTAGTAACAAAAAACTCTCCAATGGACACTCAAACATTCGTTCAAACAACGTGTCCAGCATATCTCAAAAAATAGAAGTCTCGACATTATTTTTAAATCTTTGCAGCTTTTAGGGTAGTGTTCCAAAGATGTAGCAACGTGGATGACTTTACTGAAATTGGCGTGAATCGGTCGTCTCCAAGGCTAACATATAATCGGTTTTCAGGTTTGCATCCTCTACACCGCCGAACGTCTCGACACCCTAACGGTTTTGATGGAATTTAGGAGAACAACCAAAAAAAAACTGAATGTGAGGAATGTGCTTACCACCCCACTAACACGTGAGCGGAAAAGAAATGGACTTGTCGTGTAAAGGAGAGCACAAACATTTACTTAAGTTAACAACAGCGAGTGACATCGTTCGCTAATGTGCGGACTGGTAATTCGTCTCTTGCCATTCAGGTTTCTTGGCAGTTTCTTTAAAAAACCTTCAAAAAGTCAAAAATCTTGCCATTGAGGCGCTTGGCGGTATTGTGGGTACATATTAACTGGACCATCTTCGTCCACTTGGACGACGATTCATGTCCAAGCGTCAAGACATTTCCAACAAAGAACTCCACTTAACAATCCTCTCGACACAATAAATTAAAAACTGCAGAACTTGTGCAACAGCATCTTTTGGAAAACAGTGACCTAAGTATCCAAAGGGAACTTATGGTAAGGAGAATTCGATTTGTTATCATCACTATGCCTATAGGTGCGTATGCCAGTGCACTGCGATGGTGACCTGACCAATCGGGTTTCTAGTTTTTACAAGTTTTTGTTTCGACAAAACACAAACGTCTAAGCGACAAAGAAGATTCGGCGCAGGCCGATGAGTCGTAGCAACCGTAACCCAAGTTGTGATTGGGGCGCGGATTCGGATTGGAGCACGCATGATCCTGGCCTGGAGTGAGTAGCTGGCCTTCCAAAGAAGGTTGGTCTGTGTGATACTCAGGGTGAACAAGTTTCTGTAACTTGTGATACTTGGCATATTTTAGAATAGATTCTCCTAGATAGAGAGGACCTCTCGTAACGTGGTTCCTCATCACTTTAGCTTCTCTGCGAAAGACTTAGCATACAGAGTGAAGAGGAACTTCTGTCATTTTGTCCCAAACGAGCTATTCTAAAATTGATGTTTATTAACCGAATGGAAGCACGACAAAGCAAGAAATTTACCAGTAGTCCGACTTTTATGCAGAATGAATTCATTAGAAAGTGAACTCTTATCAGGGCACATGGTTGTTGGAGATTCCTCAACCGGTAGGATTGTATTTGGTCGCTGGGAGAGGGGAGTCGCATTTGCGTTCTGATCGTCTGAGAGAGGTCCGCGAACTTTCGTGTCGTTAACTGTTATAAAGTGCTCCCCCCTCTTCGGACAGCGCGTCGAATAGGGAGGGAACCAGGGGGTCGTATCACCCCAAGAAAAAGGAGGGCGACAAGTGTAGACATCCGACTTCAATCGCTGACTAAAGATGGCCCCTGATTCTTATGGTTTTAACAGAACGGTTTCTAAGAATGTTGTAAAAAAATCGCATTTTGCGAGAAGAAATTGTGAGGACGACAAGCCCTCAGAAAAAAACACTAGATGATAATGTATAAAAATCAACCTTTCAGCTTCCAAATTAAAAATTTATGTAACTAGCAATTGTGATGAGAACCTGGAATAAAGGTCAGCACGCTATACACCACATATTTAGCAACAAAATGGGGTTCTCAATAAGTCGGATCTCAAATGAGTGAAAGTCGTACAGCTGATTCTTTAGAAAAGGATATATGGGGTACCACAGGGAAAAAGATCACAAAAACAAGGCAAGGGAGAGGACCAGCTCATGCGTGCTCCAATCCGAATCCGCGCCCCAATCACAACTTGGGTTACGGTTGCTACGACTCATCGGCCTGCCGAATCTCTCTTGTTGTATAACAGCACACCCGTTTTTTTACGGTCGTCTTCCGCTGGCAGCGTTTCAGCGGCTGGAACCGGATCTGACGGTTTTTGACTGTCTACAGCAGCTTCAGGATGACCATTGGAATCTCCGTTTGGAACAGATGATTCTTTAGGTGGAGCTGGGTCACCTTCATGTTCTGCAAAGGACACGAGTTGAAGTGAGCTCAGAGTGATTATAATTAGCAGCCTACTGATAACACACAACAATCAAGATAGTCACAATACGTTGCGGGCGTAAAAAAATGAGATGGCAATTGTATCTAAAAAATGCCAGAAGTATGATAGAAAAAGCTCTATTCAATAGGTTAGTCAAATGTGTGGATTATATGAGCGAGGAATCAAGAGTCGCTGTTGGCAGAGCCGAGCAAGAGCTTCAGATTTTACCCACTCGAGCACTGACCTGACCGTTTTCCGGAGCGAAATGAAACAGGAACAACTCCGTCTTTTCACGGCACCATGGCCGGTCGCCAACTTAATATTATCGCGAGTGACTACAAGGAAGAGAATAAACTAAGTTATACACGCAATTCGAGTATCAGATAGAAACTCAATTGTTATGCAGTTGCTCGTACTCCGTACTATAAAACAGGCAGCTTGTTTCTTTAGCAGAACTTTCGTAGATAACGATTATTTAGGAAGCCGCGCGTGCTTTGCTGCAGCAAGACCAGTACTAGTTTAATTTTTTGGAAGTGCAAGAGTTCAAAACTGAAAGCGTAGCAACGCGCCATCTGTATGCAAATAATGCTGAACTAATAAAGAAAAAGTAAGAACACCGAAAGAAGAATTTAACGGAGCCTTTCCATTCGAGTGCGAAACAACTCTTTTGATAAATCCTAAGAAAACAATAATTACCTGGTTGTTCCTTCACTGGGGTTGACTTTTGGACTGCATCCTCAGTGGCGTTGACTGCTGGTACTTCTGCTTCCTCAGACATCATGTAAGTACTGCACTGGAATAAAAAAACCATTTGCAAACTTGAACACCCAAAAACCAGTGAGCGACCCTGTACTCGACAAAATAAACCATCGAGAAAAAACCAAACCATAATAAGTCTTTGGAAAAAAATTGAGAAAAAACAACAATTATTAAACACGGCTCAATAAGAACAAACAAATACGAACATCAATATGGACGCCAAAACAGCCGCAACGCAAGGGGGACGCGCGCGTTGCGCTGCGCATCGACTCCCCAACGTGTGCCTCGATACGCAGCCACAATTTGGCTGTTTGCCCGGTCAGTTGGTCTCCATGGTTCCTCGGCGGTACTGTTGCATTCATACAGGGACCTTCAGCGAGCAGGAAATCCTTTGCGAGTATTTTTCCCATGTGATAGTCCGATCACTAGCAGATTTCTGGGGATGTAGTAGGGAGCTAACTCTGCAATGTTCAATGCGTTTGTTCCAGGGATGGACTGGTAATCAAGGCACCCGTCCGTCACCAGTACGGCTTTTCGTGATTCCTTATAAAACAGCGAAATCTTAAGAGATTGACACACCACAATCACTTCCGCTTCAAATCCAACTCTTTTGAAACCAAATTCAATCTTTACAGTCGTTAGGATAAGGGTAGTATTCGTTGCCTTTTTTTGATACGGCACGCATTCTAGGAATTTTATGAGTTGTAGCAGCTTATTAGATGCGATGTGGCCCATGCAGTGACTTGCGGGGCCAGCCGATGTACAAGTCAGTGTTTTTGGCACCAAATTATCATCGGGGATAGAGGGCTCGGTCGGTCTGAGCGGGAGTCGTTACGGGACTTGATCGCCGGCCCTAGCGCGTGCTGGGCGTGCCACTTCTGATTTCGATGCTCTAGCACGAAATCGCATACCGCCCGCGGTTTTGGAGCCCCGACCTTTCTCACCAATTTCGTAGTAAACTTGCTTGATGGGGTTATCGATGTGGCTTAACAGAAGAAGTTCTCGAGAAATTGAAAAGAAGCCCGAGTGGTGAAAATCAGCGCCGGATTTTCAAATCAGACGTCATAAGAGGAAAGTGCGCTGCTCAAATTTGACCGGCGCGGACAAGTTGTAGTAATGGTGTTCTCGATATACAAGGTGGGAGGTTTGGTTCAGGAGCCCGAAGAAGGAAGAAAGGAAAAATTTGTTGTCGTGGATGGTCCCATAATGTTCATCCTGCACAAGAAAAAAGGGTGGATGAAGTCAAGCGCTGAATGTCTGATCCCAGAGCCTGGACCTTTGTCGAGCTTCCCCGCGAGTCTGACATCCCAGCTGCAACTGCTGCCCGATAAACTGAGGATGGTCAAGAGGGTGTGCGCGGCATGGTAGCATAGTTTCTTGTAGGAATCGATTCTAGTAACTCTATGCAGTATGCCCTCAGCATGATATGCATTTTACGATCTAGTGGAAAACTTATCACGGCTCTACGTGAAATCTGGGTGGCTGCTTGGGACATCAGCGCCAAAATTCACATGCGTCAATTTTGTATAAATGCAAGATGAGAACCGCGCCGAGTATTCACTTGAGGGAGTTACGTGGGCGGCTAAGTGGATGCCATCATGGCGAAGGATTCGCACATCTGGCTTTCAGGCGCTCTATACAGAGAGTGTACTGCTAATAAACGCACCACGGCCCTAAGGATGAAACATGGCAAAGAGGAGTCATCTCAATCGTCAATTTTGTATGAATGCAGATGAGAAGCCGCCCGAGTTCTACCATGAGGAGTTACGTGGGCGCAAGTGGATGATCATCATAGAAGGATTTCCCACACTGTGGCTTTCAGGCGCTGCTATACAAGAGAATAGATCAGTCGCTGCCATTATAATGGCCTGTTTCGTCAGCAATCAGATCGCGACAAATTGGATGACAGACCATCACAACTACAAGAACGCCAGCGTTCTGCTCGTTCAGTAGTGCCAGCCGAGATACTGTATTGTGTATGGGTCATGCCTGGGACACAAACGAAGTACTGAGACCTTGGTTCAATTCGGCCGCCATTCGCCTCAACATAAAGCCGTTCGATTCCAAACTGAGTTGGTTAGTCGAGGGTACCTCCGACGGCAAACGGTACAACGTTTTGTCATTCGCCGAAATTGGCATCAGCGTCAATTTAAGCGCCCTTGTTGGAAAACGAAGGTACGGCAGAGGTCAAAGGCTTTCGCCGGGCGCGGTTGGAGCAGGTCATTCGGTTAAGGAGGGATTTACTTCAGACTTGGAGCTAAGAATAATTACCTTTTTATCTTTCTCCTCGCTATGTTTTATTCGAATAAAACCGACGGCACTTTTGAATGGGATGACCTAATAGGATCATTTGGTGTCCTGATTATCAACATGACATTTCTTTGGCACGCAATCCGTAACTGCCGCTTTACAGGCGACCGCAGAGCTTCTTGTTGTACCCATACAGACCCCTAGCTGTAATTCAACTTGTGCGGCTATCACAGGGCAGTTAAGAGAAACATGGCCAGACGAGACAGTATCCTTCCAGGTTGCATGCGATAGTGATCCTTTTCCCTACTAGGAAAGACAAGATTCCTGACTTCAGAGAAGATCTGCTTAAAATAGACCGTCGCTTGCCAGCGATTAGTGCGCAAAAAATCAAGGTAATTGCAAATTAAAGTAAAAAGACGTGATTTCAAGCGGCAGCAGACCTCAAGGCTATATCAAAAGGGATGTCTTTAACAAAAACAGGGACATACTAAATACATTAGTATTTTGGGTTGTGGGGGTTGGACATTGGGGAACCAATTACCAGAAAATTCATGAAAGAAGTTTAACCCATTCGTGGCAATGTCCGCCACTAGTGATGGACACCGAGATGTCCACTTGGGACCATGTCCACCATATGTGGCGGACGGGTTTCTCATGAAATTTTTAGAAACAGTTCAACCTCTTCAAGGGAACTTTCCCAGTGGAGCAACTCTACATACCTTTACTAATTTAAGCAAATAGTGGACCAACGAGATCTTCGCTTATAAGGGTCCTAGGTACGATCCAACTAGCAGCACTAGAGAGATCTCTAGAAAAAAATCTGCTGAAAAATTGCCTATAGATTACTCAGCCTCCTCATCACGAACACGACGTCCATTTCTGGCGCTGGCGCTGTATGATGTCACTTGGCACCGTTCGGCGCCAACTTGGCGCCACCACTTTTTTCATCAAGACTGGTATAAACTTCCGTGTGACGCCTTTCATACAAATATGTACACTATTTCTTGGCGCTGGTGCCACTAGGCGCCGGAATGGTGCCGGCGCCAACAATATCACTAGGGCAGTTAGGGGGACGTGAAGAAAAGCAGCACACCCCTGACTGTCTGTGATAGTGATTTTTTTCCTTTATCAAGGCTCAGCCTCAGCAGAGGAAGGGATCACTATCTCGGGGAAGGGTGCATAGGAGCACAAGCAGATTGCGCTACTACTTGTACCCCCTTTACTCCATCCTAGACATTCTCAACGCCCCATACAATGTGATATTCGTGCTCAGGAGGCCATCTAAAAACTACATCACCACATC